AGTGGTGTGATCGTGCAGACCAACGAGAAAAATGGGTGCGCGTTGCAATCAATGTCTTACTTTTTCTTTTCGTCGTGGAAACCGGGTGCGCGTTATAATCGAGGGCGCGGTAGAATCGAGTAAATACGGTAGTTTCTGATTGCCTTAAGCTGAAATAAAAGAAGCATGTGGTCGATGAACTTTATTAGCAAGCTATCTGTGTTTTTTTCTAATGCATTGATGAAACATGGAGGTATCACCGCAGACGTTCCTGTGATATTGAAACAGGTATGAGCCGAAAAAGTGGAAGAGGAGGAAGACGCGAACTGGAGCAGCCTACCGACGCCATCATTACACGACCATTCACCTCGCTCTGTTAATAAACATCCTTCGATTTAACCGTTACAGTTTTGTGGTGGAGGTGCTGGGTAATTGCCCAATACGACGGAGCCACTGCTGGTAGGTCTTCGCTGAAGGCGGTGCCTCGCCCGACTGCCTCCAACACAACCGGAGCTTGCGGTGTCGAACAAAGGCGACCAACAGTTATCTTTAGCTCCTCCGGCACGGACACCTGGCGTCTGGGTGCTTCAGTTGGAGCCGTGCCCTTTCTCAGCGAAACCCGGCAAGGACGTGGAAGAATGGCTCACACACATTACAAGCGTGTGAGCAAGTGCAACGAATGGAATGCCACGGCTCACCTAGAGTATGTTGCTCTCTTCCTGACAGACACTGCTCTGGTGTGGTTTGAGAATCACGAAGAGTCGCTAAAAACCTGGAATAACTTCGCTACCCAAATCACAGAGTGCTTCGGGGATCACACCACTAAAAGAAAGCGGGCCGAGCAGATATTACTTCAGCATGCTCAAGCGCCAGGCGAGACTTGTACTACGTACATAGAGGCGATACTGAAGTTGTGCAAGACTGCGAATTCTCAGTATGTCTGAAGAGGACAAGGTCGGGCATCTCCTAAAAGGTATTGCTGAGGACGCATGTAACTACTTGATTGGCAAGAAGAGTCTTGATTCGGTAGCTGATGTGATCAAGCATTTCCGCACATTTGAGACCTTGAAGCTATGCCGTATCATGCCAAAGTTCGGCAGGTTAGCGTATGTTACGATGGTTTCAAGCATTGGGGACTGCAATAGTGTCTTTTGTACCTTGCAGCCACTGCGAGACAAATTGTTCATGAAGAACTCGAGCCACACAACAAAGCAGTGAACGCTGTGAACGCGAAACAGTTCGGTTAGATTTGTAATCAGTCTCACGAACCTGCATCGGTGATTTCCTCACTGTCTGCCATGTCAGGCGTTGCAGACGGTCGAGCCGATCCCCTGCAACAGCACCACCGTACCTTTTCTGACGAAGTGACGCATGACGAACACACTTATCTGGGTATGACCACCATTCGGCACTCGGAAGATCGTGTCTACTACTCGCAGCATCCCAGGGCGGCTTATCCTGACGTCTATAATGGTGGTCGCCCTTCGCCTGTCAGCTACAGTCTGCTGCAGCTAGCTGCGGTGACAGAGGACACATCTCTCGTTTTTGTCGCCGCCAGACTAGATATGGCCCACAACAGACTTGGCCCAATTTTAAAAACGTAAACATTGATCATTCGCCCGCAGAACATCGTGCAACAAACACTACAGGCTCGCCACCCAGGAATTACTTCTGCCATTCCAACAGAAGTAGTGACTCGCCAGAATCAAACCGTAGCCTGACGCCATCAACCTATGCCGTTCCCCTCACCTACGCCGTTCACCATCACCACCGCAGCAATCTACACCACCACCACCTCCATCGCGAAACTAGCTGGCGCGGCCGATGGAGATAAGATGTTTGCCCGGTCTCCGTATCTGCAATCTACAACTCTGCCTATTATGATGGTCAAAAACAAAGTGTGTGTGTTAATTGATATGTGCTTGCAACTGGGTTAGTGGATACTGGTTCTACGGTCTCTGGCATGAGTGCTACATTCAAAGAAAAGCTTGGTTGGAAAGTTATGTTGCCGTGAAATGGTGGTGTGACAATTCGTGTTGTCAGCAGAGAGTGCCTCGCTCCTCTAGGCGTTTGTGTTTCTATTGTTTTGTTTGGTGATGAAGATCTCGTCAAGGAATTCTTGGTATTACTGCGATGCACTCACGATGTGATTCTTGGGATCCACTTCCTCCAGGACTGTGGTGGTCTCGTTAACTAGCACAGGCAAAATTACGGTGAATAACGCACTTCTGTCTACGCTTGCTAAGACATCTTTACCAAAGAAAAACTGTTTTGTCGAAGGATTCGCTATTAGCACTGTGGTCTCTATCACATGTTCCTGTTAATCTTGCTGTTGCCAAAGTTTCGTCGTTTGACGCACAAATTCAACCACTTGCTACGGGTTGCGTGAAGAAAAATGTACTTGTGCCACGATCTCTTGTGACAGTTGTGATGCCGCCTCAAGCTCACGGGCTTTCATATGTTCTTCAGTGCCTGCTGTACTTCTGCATGATATGAAGCTTGCAGAGTTCGACAAAGTCACGTACGACACCATCATCATTATAAGAGAGGAGCAGCAGTATAAAACAAGCAACCCTCAGCGAAGCAGTTCTGAAGAACGGCTCTTAAAAATGATCAGCAAGTCACTACCCTCACATGAGCGCCACGCTCTTGTACGAGTCCTTCTGACACATCTTTTGGTGTTCGATTTTACACAAGGCGACAAGGAGACTTTACTACCGCATTCTCGTGCTCATCACAGAATTGACACCGGATCTGCACACCCCGTTCGTCAAAAACCTTACCGCGTATCATCAACAGAAAGGACAGTAATAGCTGAACAGGTCACTGACATGTTACGGAAAAGTGTTGTCCAAGAGTCGTCTAGTACGTGGGCAGCGCCTGTGATCTTAGTAAAGAAGAAGGATGAATCACGGCAGTTTTGCGTTGACCATAGAAAATTAAACGCGGTCACCAAAAAGGGATGCGTATCTGCTTCCCAGAATCGATGACGTTATTGATTGCCCACATTCTGCTTGTACTTTTCTTCACTGGATTTGCGATCAGGGTATTGGCAAATACCCATGCACCCAAACGACAAAGAAAAAATTGCCTTCGTGACACCAGACTGCTTTTATGAATTTAATGTTATGCCGTTCGGTCTTTGTAATGCACCAGCAACAGTCGAATGATTTATGGACACAATACTTCGAGGGCTTAAGTTGGAAATTTGTTCGTGCCACCTAGATGATGTCGTGATTTTTGGCAGCACACTGAATGAGCATAACAGACTTGGATTGTATACAAAAGGCCGGCTTGATGCTAAACTCTAAGAAATGTCATTTTGGTGAAACGGATACATTAGTACTTGAACACATCGTTGACAAAAATGGCGTAAGGCCAGACCACCGAAAGATCGAGGCCGTCAGCTCTTTCGAACCACCTAAATCCGTGCGGGAATTGAGGAGCTTCTTAGGTTTATGCTCATATTATGCTCAAAACAAAGGTTTGTTTGTTTTGAGGTTCGCCGACTTGGTGCATCTGCTAACATGTCTTCCTCAAAAGAACGTCCCTTTCAACCGGACTTCAGCTTGCGACGATGCGTCCCGCTGGCTAAAGTTTCTACTAACGTCGGGGCCCCTACTGCGTCATTTCAATGTGTCCTTGCCAACGGAAGTGCACGCTGATGCTAGTGGCATCGGCATCGGTGCTGTACTAGTGCAGCGTCATCGAGGAGCTGAGCACGTAGTGGCTTATGCCAGTCGCTCTTTCAACAAAGCTGAGTGCAACTATATGTGACACAACAAGAATGCTTGGCTTTTGTTCAAATATCTGTGAGCTTATTTGTGATAATCATGTCACCTTTAGTCATTTTACAGCAAAGTTCTATATTTCACCACAGCTTTCTCTACTAAGCCAGGTTGATATAATTCATAGCTTTTATCGGCTATCTGTCATGGACACAGTACATGTCTTGAAATTGCTTTTAGTAACACGGGCTCCAAAAGCCAGTTTTGGTGCTCCAAAATGCATTTTTGCCGGCCTCAAAGTAACCTAAGCATCACTGTGTAGGTATGAATGGTTGCCACAATGGGTTGTGTTGTGATAGTAACCAATCCAATGTAATTGTTAAATGTGCATTACTTTTAGCTTTGTTTTGTAGCTTGTTGGTGAGGGCTATTTTCTTCATAGCTTGTCAGCCAGCTTCTCTCGGTTAATTTGGAGCATGGTTGACATAACTGGATTTGCACACCAGTGGCTCGCGCTCGACCCAATAAGTCTCAATTTTTTTTAGGTGCAGACAGTGGCCCCTAAAAATATTATGCCTGGAACGTGAGCCGGGAACGCGCTGCCCTACTCTCCGATTTTACCCTCCTCCTTCGGTACGAAGGTGAGCGTCTCTGGTGGCCGCCCCTGCGAACACAGCAATGCTCTCACAGTTGCCTCCGAGCAGCCGTAATGTCACGTGACAAAGCGGTACGGTTATGTCACGGGACTGAGCAGTGTAGAGGTGAGCGATCTCACAGGGCGGCCGGTCGCAACACAAGGCAGGAGGCATGGCCTTCGAGGTTGCATGCTGGCAGGAGGCTGCCAATTGAAAGGAAAGCGACATTCGAGGCATAGTTTTTATAGGAGGCGTTGGTGCAGAACACGGCATTTGACAACGCATGCTAATGGAGCAGAACAGGATAGTGCAAACAGCAGCAAGTAGATCCACACTGAAATGTTTGATACTTGCTCGGAGTAGTAAATCTGTTTGTGCACTGTGAATGCAGTATTTAGATTCTAATGTCATATGCAATGCTCGTGATTTAGTTACAGAAGCTGAAACATAAGTTTTAGATTAATTATTGTGTTATTATTCATGTTTTCAAATAGGAGACGGGAAGCTATCCTTGGAAACTGCCTTTTGGTGCCTTGAAAGTGGATGAAAACTCTGGAAATTTCTCCTTGGCGTGAAGCCTTGTTGAAGAATCTATCTAGGAAAACTTTGAACAAGGTTGTAGTAGTTTTTCACAGACCTCGTGGTTGTTTTACTGCAGGGACAGTGCCAACAAGAAGGTCAAGGGCCGCTGGGGCCGTACCAAAGTGAAAGAGTGCTCGACAGAACCCGACATCAGCGTCTCCGCTGCGGCGAACGAGGTGGCTGTGGCCCGCTCTCCTTCGCCCCAGCACACACCTGAACACGTGGAGTTCAAGGAGGAGGCTGAGGTGAGCCCCATTCTCACATTGACTTCGCTCACAGCTGGCATCCACAGAAAGCTGTAGTGTGTGTACAGACTTAAAATCTCTCTGGACGGGACCTGGGAAAATATTGCCATGCACATTTCATTTTCGCTGTATTCGGTTTTGACCAACACAGACTGCAAGCAATGCTCACTGTGAACCACACCTTCAGTCTTGAGAAGCTAAAAAGTAAGGCTGAAAAGTTTGGCGTGTGATGTGTAAAAAACAGTCCCAACGATAATCAGTTTTTCGACAGCCAAACACTCTGTGTGCCAATATCAGGTGTACAGTGTGCATTTCTTGTTGCAATTAGAGTTGCCGCTTTGTGGCCACAAGTTTGGCCTAATAAAGAACTTTACCAAGAAGCCGGCTGCTACCTTCGTCGATGTCAAGACCCTGTGACAATATTAACAACACTCAACACAAAACTTTCGGCAACTAAGATGCTTTTCATTCTGAGAAGTCTGTACAGATTTCCTTGTGGCTTTGTGCTACGAACGGGTGGTTGTCTATTTACCCTTTGGTATAACAGTGGTTTTAGTGCATGAAGAAATACAAAGAAACACAGGACAAAGGTTTGCAGTGCTAAAACCTGAGTTATACCATGCACAACCAACTAGCCCAAGTTTCGATTCTGTTACCGTGTTACCAAATCTCGCGATTCTAAGCCGACCCTCAAAAGTCCGAAGCCTAGGGAGAGAGAGAGAGAGAGAAAAAAAAGAAAACTTTCCTTGAATTTAGGCCGAACGAACAGTGAAGACAGCATTACAAAGAGAAAGCATTTGTTGAACATGAAGTTGAAACAAAATGGTTGGTTCACGATAAAAATAACTCTAGAAACATACAGCCATTAGTCCTGTTGTGTGTGTGTTAGTTCGTTTTTTTTTTTTTTTTTTCGCGCTGCTTTTACTTATTTGCATCATAAAGATGCCACGCTTGCCTATGCCACCCTTATTCATTCCAAGTCATCGTCGCTCTCTTCAAAGAGTGTGCATTCCTTGATGTCATCAAGCACATTGGATATGCCGTACTTCTTAAAGGGCCAGTAAACAATCTTAAGGTCCAAAAATTGTTATCAAAATAAATATGTGCACTTTTACTTCGTGAACATGCTGCTGTAAGAATTTTGTGAATACACGCTATATTAAGGAGTTACAGGGGTTATAATATCGGTTTCACTGGTGGTTGAAACATCGGCTTCAGCCGTTTAAAAATTTTTGCACGGCCTCGCCACACTCACTTGGAGCGGGAAGCGTAACCCGGCGTTGTGACTTCGCCCACTTTGGCAACGCCACATGATGTCAGCAGTTGACGTCACCGGCGAACTCGTTCAGTCGCAACGCACTTCCGCTTGCTGAGACGCCTGGGGGTTACCCGGTGCCGATGCTTCTCGGCTGCCCATTTGCTCAATTTGCACCTGACAACGAAATAACGCTTTTTCCCCGTGTTGCTCATGTCGAGGGCGAAGCACGTGCGTGCAGGCACTATGCTGAGCTGTAGTTGAGCGAGGAATGTATGTGCGACAACAGTGAGGCCAAAACTCATGGAGGAAGAAATATACTGAGGAGAGGCCGTTACGTCACGACAGGCTGTTTTCTTTTGCGGGTACTGTAAGTTCAGGGTACGGAACATAATGTAACGAGGATATTTTATTTAATTTGTCTTGATTTTTAGCCAGATGAAGCACATCCGAGTCATTCTTTGCCCGTGTCTGTCATGATACGTGTGCACGAGTGTCGTTCTCAGCAACGTGGGTTGGCCGACTGCGACCATATTTTAAAAAACTTGGCCGAGAATGAGGTTATCATGTGCAACGCGTAAACAGGAAGGGATAATTCTAATAATAAATCACCTTACTCTGTCAGGCACATATAATTTTTGACTCTGCAAGCTCTGGTGAGAACAATGGGCCACGCACTGCTTTTCGATAGTTATGACTTATGACTGTCGTACACCAAAACTGCTCCCCTGCCTCTGGCATTAAGAGCCGTAAACACTGCCATACTTGTCTTGGAATTCCATGCTTCCTTCGCTGAAGCATACAGCTGCACAGTGCCCAAGGAAAACAACGAAGCTGCGGCGCCAATCATTTTCGAAGTGGTTGCGAGCTTTGATAATGACCTCTTTCCACCTCAAGCTATATAAACTAAACTCGCAACCGTGAAGACCAACGCTCACTGTAGGCTTCTAACACATTGATCTGTGATGTGCAGTAGCTGCATAAAAATGCACATTCAGAGCTCCAGCCGGCTATTAAGAACGTGGTCATACATGTGGTGATGCAGATGACACGAGATGCTCGCGTGACCACGAGATCCCAAACCGGCCTGCAAAAGCATGTGATTTCTGCCACTATTCTCGTTCTGCAGCTTGCATTGCGGGGGCCTTTCCTCAGTTTTCTTTCCTCCTTGCGAAAACTGTATCATTGCAGCGCCAAGAAACAAGGGGCAGTTTCGTAGCTGTGGAAAGGAACAGGCACTGACGCTGGCTCCATTGTTATTTCTTAAAACCTGGTTTAGACAAATTGACGAGCTGCATGCTGCATTGCGTCACCGATCGCGGAGTTGGCATCACTGCGTGTGCAAGGAAGATTGATTAGGCGTAGGAAAGATGCGTGGAAATAGTTTCTTAAAATGGAGGCTCTGCGCGGCGCACAGTGCTGTAATATTCAGACAATAAGATCTACAGTAGACCACAACATGGTCTACTCTATGAATTGCCGAGCTTGCTTTGGTGGTGTGAAAAAAAAAGTTAGAGCCTCTTGACTGGCGCTTTAAAAGAGTGCATTATCAAAGTTCCTAGGGTCTTGTCCCACGCTAGAGCTCTCTAGCGACGCACATTTTTTTCGCCCACTCCAAAGTCCTTCTTGGTTAAACAGCGCACACGAGACGAGTACACAAACAAGTGCTGTTGTTGTCTCGTGTGCGCTGTTCAACCAAGATGAACGCATACCAACTCGCTCAAGCTTCCATTCTTACGCAAAGTTCTGCCCGGCTTGAACGTCGGACGACGATACCACTGATAGGAGAACTTTTCTTTTATATGCGGCACTATAATGACACCGTCTGTTTGGTGTCATTGAGCTAAACCACACACAGACCACTCAAATTGTGACTTGAAATGACAAATGGCTCGCCTAAACATTTCTTACAAAGATCAAAGTGGCGGCCTAATGTGGGTACTTGATGGCTCCGTGTTACAATGCCGTCTAGGTGGCGCTAGTTGTGCATCACTTGTCTTAATGAAAAATGCTCAAAATTCTTGAATCTAAGCTGACCCAGGAGTTTGATAAAAAGAAATTAGAAAAAAAAAAACAATCGGCCTAGATTCAAATAAATACGATAGTTTCTTTTTATTAACCTTTCCATCACCTTCTGGGCTTCTGCATGACTTATTTGCAATACTGAAAGATGCACGAGAGGGCCATGTTAAAGCGCAGAACCCATCATATTAGAGACGGTTCTTGCCTATAATAGGCAGCAGTGTTGTTTTACCATATATTGTGATGTATTTTTACGTACAACCGTGGTTACAAATCATTAGTTATGCTTTAAGACTAGAACAAACAGTGCTGTACACTAGAACAAACAGCGCTATACACGGGCGAGTGAAAGAACAACAGACGAGGGCACTGAACTAACAATCGCAGGTTTATTGCTGGGATACGCAATTATTGTCGCATTTAACCTGCACAGAAGAGCTCGCGCAGCAATAAAGAAAGTCGAAATTCTTGCCCGGTCCTCTTTACAAGCGCCTTTCATTTAATTAAAGTGAGCTCTTCTATATCCGACTTCTGCTGTGTCTGCGTCGTGGTGGAGGAGCTGCGTACATGTCTAGGACACCTTCCAACAGCCTGGGATCTAGTCCACAAAGACTTCCGCTGGTCGAAATACCCGTTCACCGCGTCATCCGCCACCTGTTAGGCCTGAGTCCAGAATTCGGTTTTTAGACGGGAAACATGACCGCGCCCGGAAGCAGTTGTCCCGTCATGACCAGCCCAAGCACAACACAGGCGACTGTTTCCACCCCTAAAATTCCTGTGGACTTTCACGGCAACACATATGAGGACGCAGATGACTGGCTTGAGGAGTTCGAGCGCACAGCCAACGTTAATGGGTGGAAAGCCGCACAGAAGTTGGGGTACGTGTATTTCCCTTTTCAGGACAGGGCTCGCACATGGTTCACGAATCGCGTGTGGTCAACGGGGGATGAGTTTCGGGGGAAGTTCCTGGACACCTTCGCAAACACCGAAAGGCGGGAGCATGCACGACTCCTCGAATCACAGATTCAAAAGCCAAACGAATCTGTTGCTATGTTTGTTGAGGACATGGCTCGTCTCTTCCATCGAGCCGATCCCGATATGTTCAAGAACAGAAAGATCAGCCACCTCATGCGCGGTGTTAAAGAGTAGCTCTTTGCTGGTCTCGTGTGAAACCCACCTTCAAGTCAGCGCAACCGCCGCGACCACTGTGACACCTGACGAGCGTTCTTTGCGTGACCTGATACGTGAAATTGCGCGATACTTGAAATGGCATGCCCACATTCTGAATATATCAAAAAAGGCGTTAAGAAAGCTGGGTTACCTAAAGAGAAAACTTCGAAATGCAACTAGGGAATGTAAACTAATAGCATACAGATCTCTAATAAGGCCTCTCCTAGAGTATGCGTCTGTCGTATGGGCACCGCATCATGCCAATGACATAAATATGCTTGATTCTATTCAGAAAAAAGCCAGCAGATCTATATGTAAGCGTTATGATCGCCATTTTTCATCTACATTATATGCTAATGAATCACAGCTAAAAAGTTTGGCTCTCCGACGCACTTGTGTCCGTCTTGTCCTGTTGCATAAGATCGCTCATGGGGAAACATTTATTGATGCACCCATTACCTTCACTAACCCTTCTTCTCGAATCACAAGGAGAAGTCACCACCTTAACATAGCTCCTTTGAAGTCATTCATTGATTGCTTCAAGTTTTCTTTT